TCGCAGCTAGCTCTTCTGCTGTGTCATTAGGTAGCACGGGTACAATCCTTTGGGCAAGTATGCGACCCCTGTCATACTCCTCATCCACAAAATGTATTGTGGGGCCCGAGTATCTAAGAAACACCGAAAGAAATAACAGGAAATTACTTGCTATATGAAAGGTATAAAAATTTAAAGAAAAGTCTCTTGACTGAAAACAGCTAAGCCTAATAGAATTTTAACGGCAAAGATATGTTCTACATCCACGTAGAAGAGGAGTATATATAGACTGATGATCTCATGTTTCACAGTAAAAATCTCTTCTCACTAGCCGCTACCTTCCTCTTCTCCAATCATTTAAAAAAAAAGCATTGAAAATGGGAAACAAAGAGAAGAGAAGACCAAATATTTTTTGAGGCAAAGAGAAGCAAAACATGAGTTTGAAATACTTTAGTAAAGCATACATTGACAAATATCAGGTATCAGTTCAATGACAGGTTATGCTTGCACTATCGCAACCCACAAATAATGTTCTGACAGATAACTAAGCAACTTTGAAGCTCTGCCATTAGAATTGATGGATTTTACAAATTATCCAGCTCAGTCTGGAAACTCAAAAGCATTTTAATAGGTAAGGAGTGTCAAAGAGATTGAACTGCTGATAATACTCGTCATACATTTTCTTAACACTTTGAAGGAAAATTCCATCAAAGACAAAGGACTAACAGAACCAAAAGAAAAAGAAGTTAGACATCAACGACAGTGGGGAGAGGACTAACCTTGCTCCAGATGCAATGACTGCCTTATGCACCTTCATACCGTAATAACCTTTGCCTCCAAAAGCTGGAAGAAGTGAAGGATGGATGTTCAGTATGGACCTTGGAAATGCTCGAATCAACTCAGTAGGTATAAGCTTCAAGTAGCCAGCTAAGACAATGAAATCGACCTTGTAGCTTCTGTCAAGTTCACGGCACAGGGAGAATTAAAAGAGAAATGGCGAAGCACAAATAGCCATTAACTTCTTTTTTCTTTCTTTTTATGGTTTCCTGATCTTTCTTGATTTTGCTTTTTCTTTTGTGGGTTAATTCATCTTGTTTGGATGGGATGTCAATATAGAGGATACTATTAGTGACTGATAAATGTACTAGCTGATGACAGAAACTTACTTAGCATGGATGGGTTTCACAATTATACATTCATATCCATCAAGATATGCAAATTTTCAAGGACAAATTTCAGAGAATAATTCATGCTCTTTGGGGAAGGAGAAGTACATTATTACCATCCAAGCCTCTTAGATTACATCACTTTCGTAACTTGAATCATGCACATCTATCTTCATTGCCTCATTGCCTTTCCATTTCCAATTTGCAAATATCACCACATGTGAAAACAACCCCTTGAAATCGAATCATATGCCCAATCAATTTCAAACACGCTCTAATAACTACCATAGTTTTCACATTTTTCCATAATCTTTACTAAAGACTTCAAAGAGGGTACATGTGAGATTAAGCACACAATTCATCACAGTAATCATATATAAGTTCCAAGTGACAAGTTCAAATCGAGAACCAGTCATATTGCAAGACCAAATGCCTTTCATGTACCTCATACTTCTATTTACTGTATAATCTAAGAGGAAGACACTAAAATTATGGAAATCAATGTCCAGTACTCTTCTTTTATTTAAGCAAATTCAAAAGCAAACAAGAGCTTTCAGCCAGAGTATCCAGTAAATTAATCCTAAAAATGAATTTAGGCAGCAGAAGGACTTCCAGAAGACATATTTTCACCCAAAACGTGATAGCAAAAATGCTCGCTATAAAGCAGGGAGGGAAAAAATACCTAATAGCATTTACAAGGTCTTTGGAAGACAAAACAGAACCATCTTTCACCTTAGGGAACAAAATGACAGGGATGCCTTTATCTCTAGCGAACTCTGCACCTCCACAGTCTGTTATGCATAAAAAGTCACTAGAAAAAAATGATCAGGAGACAGCATATGAACTTAAACTTTTGACACTCCACCACTTGCTTGTTTGATACAAACAAACACGTAGGACCTTGATTTTATTAGTTTATACTAAAATGGATCTAGAATGCTATAAATCCATAAAGCCTTTATTATCACAAGAATCTTGGTATTCAGTTCATTAATCTCCTTTCACAAACTTATCATGGCATAATCTTCACAAAACCTTCTCTACAAGTGTTCCTAAACAAAATTGCTAAAACCTTTAAACATGTATGACTAGAGGTAGCCCAGATAGTTTGATTATTTCTGCTTTCCTAAATCATTCTTCAAAGAGTTATGGAGGCAATGCACACTAGCATGAGTCTGTAAAGGAAGAAAACTATGCAATTCATATCTAAATAAACCAAAACAAATGGTAAAGCTGAAAACTTCCTACAATGAAGCATTGAATATCACAAAAACATAACATGCAACAATTGAAGTGGAGAAGCAAACAAATGAAACACCATGCTTTCAATACCAGGTTTATTGGTGACCAAGACAGAAATGTCTCCATGAATAAAGCCATTGACAGTTGCCTCATGAAGTGACTTGAAATTGGAACCTCCACCAGAAACAAAAACAGCTAGATTTTTCCTCCTAACTTTTACTTTTACACTATCCTCAAGCACATTAGGACCAACTATTTCACTGTGTACCTCCTCAACACTAGCTCTTATCCTCAATCTTTTCTCCGTAATTGCAATATTTGAAGGAAAAGATAAATGGGTCCTCAAGAGAACTTGTTTTGAACTTGAAAAAGCCACAGGCTTTAAGGCATAACACTGGGTTTTAGGACTATTAATGGTAGAATAATTTCCAAAAACTGAGCTGTGAGCGTCCATTTCGACCCGTTTACCGACGGGTCTCTTCTTTATGTTCCGGAACCGGATTCGACGGGTCTCGGATCCGGGTCGGCCTACCCGCAAAAAAGAGAGAGAGACGGTACAAAGCTGAACCACATTAATAAAAGAAATTGGTTTAATTTTTTTTTTAAAAAAGGAAAATATGCATCAATAGAAGTGAGCAGAGCAATCCCGTAAAGAAAGTCCGAAGTAGAAAAATAGAGGTGGGAAATCGAGGTGATAAAAGTGCCTCCTGTTGCTTAATTGTTGTTTTGGAGAGCAGGAGGTAGAGATGATGAAGGAAGCAGCCGCAGGAATGAACAATGAAGAATGGAGGATGAATATACCCCACGGTCCCCACCAATCCAGTCCACTGCAGACTGCATTTAAACCAACTAAACAATAATTGCTCTCTCACTTCTCTTTCTTCTGCTTCTTTTTCTTTTGCTCTATCAATCCATCAATGTAGTAGCGTATTTACATTTCAGAGAAGAAAAACTCCCTCTCCCTTCTATTTCCTTAACAGTTAACAGACCCAGAAATAGAAAAATGCAAAACAAAACCCAACCTGGCTTTTTCCACTGCAAATAGATCCTTTCAGATTTTTTTTTTTTTTTTTAAATTGGTTTGGGCATTGCAACCGCTTCTTTCCTTCCTTCCTTTTAACTAATGGCCCGGGGCCGATGAGAAAGAGAGGCGATGGACTGGAAGCTTAGATTTTGCCTTGCTCCTCTTTGAAGCTTGAAAAGGGTACGGCTAAAATTGGGAACAACAAAAGAGAAGAGAGAGTGAGAGAGACATGCGGCGCTTGTCTAAAATGGGGTATCAGGGTTTAGCCTGTTTGGATAACAAATTGAAGTAAAGTTGGAGTATTATAGTGATAAATATATTTTTTTAAATTATTAATTAAATTATATTCGGATCCGGGTCGAATAAGGATCGGAATATATTCGTATCTAATCCGTTTTTATGTTTGATAAAACGGATCCGGATCCAGGTTCAGGTAACAGAATTATATACCTACCCGTACCCGAAATTATTTGACGGATTCGGACAGTTGACAGGCCTACTCCTAGTATAGCTATTTTATAGAAAAGTCTCATATGATTTTAAATTATACACATCAGTACCTCATGATTTGATATAAAGTAAAAAAATTAACAGAAATTGTTAAATTTAATGTGTTTGATGTAAACATGCTGGAAATGCGTGCGATTCTTCAAAAAAATAGCTTTTTAAGGTAAATTTTGACCTGAAATACCCATTTTGCCCCTCATACCTTAATAAAACAACTATGATTCTTCTTCAAATTTGCTCCAAACTTGTAGAAATCAACTTTTTTGCTTATATTATTAGTGAATAAAACTAATGAATCAAAAATCATTTGTTTTAGGTTATTTTTGCTTATACCATTAGAGCATTTCTGTCATTTCACTCAAAACCATTTATTTTAACGATTTTCATCCATTTCGAATCATAAGATACCAACACGTATGATTTAAAATCACAAGGAGTTTTTCTGTAAGATAGCCATATCACATAGAACTTTTTTGTTGTTTACCCAAAAAAAAAAATGTTTATTGGGTAGTTTTCTATTATTATTATCATTTATTATCTCCCTTATTTCATTTTTCTTACGGATTTTCTTTTAAATTTTCTCAGCATTCCCAAGCATAGTTATTGATAAGGGTATTCTGAAATATGTTTGAAGTGGCAAGAAAAGAAAAATCAGAAGTGAGTAACCACGAAAAATTAGGATGACTTGAGATAATTAATGGAAGAGTAGTAGCTGACACAAAACAATCTAGGGGAAAAAATAATGTAACGTTTTTGTGAATACAAACAAGAACGGATAAAATTTCAGTTAGAATGGTGATCATATAAACGAGAGGATCATGGTGAGAATTTCATTCATTGACTTGAAATATTTTCCAATGAAAAAGAGGATAATGGTGTAAATGTGTTCTTCTCCCCATGCTCATGTTGCATCTGCATTTTTTTTTTTTTTTTGGGTAGGATCGTGTATTATTCTACGATCTGATCCTGCAAAATGATGTGGTGCAGATGCAGGATTCCGACTTTATAAACTTTGGTAAAAATTAGATTAGTAGAGTAATAAAAGTAGTCTGTTGCCACAACAGCAACAAGTACTATGACAATTGCAGCAACAAGTAAGTCTTTTTGTACAGAAGCTAAGATTATAGAAGCAATGACAACCATCTCTGAAATGGTTTTTGCAATTGAGAGAAACAGGACTTCTATTTGCAGACATCTGATTGTAAAGAGACAATTAACTGATATCTGGAGATTGAAGGATTCCTTCTCGAGCTGTTTTTTGCCTTTGTTCACAGGCAGGAATACAAAATGTTGGGCACTCATCGGCCAGATTTACCACAAAGCTTCTTCATCATGTCTAACAATGAAATTCCTGTTGTACAAAATCCATGTTCTAATAGCAATTTTCGTAGGCTTAACATGTTCGCTGTTCACAGACGAAAACTTGCTATTTGATCCACATTTACCGTCGCTTCATCTGCGTCTACAAAAGACATACACGTAAAGCACATTTTCTTTTCTTTGGTTGACCCTTCCCGACCATCATTCTCTCAAAATTGTTCTTCGGACCTATTTCATCAAAAGGAGAAATATGTTCTTGTATCACTCTCCTTAAGGATTTTGACTTCAGGTGCAGGAGGGAGCCTTCTTTTTCTCTGTCTTTTCCTTCTTCTTCCCTGACCATCTTAGACAATAAAAAATGGACTGGGCAGGTCTTCACAAATGGTAGAGCCCCTTCAACTCCTTGGTTCTCTGAATGGAGATTATATCTAAGATTTCCAGGCCTTCTGCATTTTTTTACTAACATATCGAGCTCCGCCAAATACACCAACTGTCAATAGGCCAGCAACAGCCTGCCTTGCACTTGAAATCATAACTTTGTTCCTAAGAAGCTTCTGCATACACTGTGCAGCCTCTTCTTTTGAACCAATTACAACTTGTTGTTTAACTCGACCTACAAACCAAATGCCATATAACTTAGTTGTATACACAAAAGGCCACGTGGAGGTCCAAGTCAACAACTTGTAGAGCAAGTGACACATTAATCCATAAAATAAGTAACATCATACCAAGACCAACTAAACAAATGAATGAATGAGGTCCATACCCAATTCATCCAGTATTTTCTTCTCTCCAAGTTTTATCCCCATTTGACTTCTGATTGGTGGTGGAAGAGAAGAGACAAATTTTGAAGCAGCAGATGACCCACAATCCTTATTTTAACAGTTCAAAGTATATATTAGAAAAAAAGTAAAAATTATATACACTGATAGTGTATACACTATTACCATTGGATCCATGACATATGTGCGAAAGTTGAATTTCAAATTCAATACATAAATATCAGATCCTCTGAGACCAGGTTTGACTATAAACATGCACTTTCAGACTACGTAGCATCAAATTTCACTGGTCACAAGTAGAGAATATCCGATACAGACGCAACCAATCTTGTAAACAGACTCTAGAGAAAAGTACACCAACTTAGACTGCTTTAAATCACATGAAACCTAATATAGCCTCAATAAAGAAAATCTGAGAAATCAGAAGTTTCCCTTAGAAGCTCAGACAAGTGAGAAGCAGCTGACAGTCGACAGTCATTTGAAACTTGATAAATTGAATGCTTAACATAGATGACAAAAAGTGTTCCATTTCAAAGAACAAACAGAAAAGTGTACTACATGCCAGATAACATCAATAAGATTTGACCTTTTCAAAGAAAACACAATGATGCTAGTCATACAGCATTCAATTACAAAGTCAATCAGTGAAGAGGTCCCGACTACTGATTGTCCAAGCCAATATTTTTGGCAAGCTAGAGGACATAACTTGATCACAGAAATGATAGGTGAGGGAAAATTGAGTTGAGTTTAAACGTTTAACAAAAAAAATTGAATTGAAAGATAACAAGAACTGGAAGAATGAGTTAAATTCATGTAGCTAGCTAAAAAATTTAGACATACCTACCTGAGATATAGTTACTTGAGCATCACCAGAAGATGAAAGTCTCAACAAGTCCTTGGCAGCATATTCTTCAAGGAAAGGGTTATACATTCTATGAAACAAACTGAACTGCCCTTGGACAATCTTTTTCACCTGTGGACAGATTGGCATTTCTGTTAAATAGAATGATGATACTCAAATAAACAAAAGAACCAGCATCGCCCTAAATCTTCTCAAGCTTACAGCTATGCCATATAAAAGTCATTTCTAAAAATTTATTTCAGGGAATAACACCTTTGATGGTGGAGCTTTAGGCATGGTTCTCTGGCACTTTTTCAAGAACTTAGAGAATTTCAGGAATGGAGGCGGGCATAAACCTGACCTCCAACTCAACCACAAGAACAAGTGGACCCCAGCCTGTCAAGTCTAATCAGTCCTACTGTTAAGAAAGGAACATCACTTGAAGACAAAATTTAAATCAGTTTGACAGCTGATGCTATAACTAGATAAAGTATCAACTGGCTTATAAGAATCGCTATATTTGATCCACTCCTATGATTGGTACCTTACACAGAAGCCCTTAATAACTCGACTTACATGGTCTAAATACCAAGGACGCTGCCAATGATCGTTCAGAACACCAACAAGGATTTCAGGATCCAGCCCTACTTGTTAGGGGAAAATATTGTGAGAAGTGCACAACTTAATGCCATCAGGAGAGCCAAAGTCTGCTGTTTCTTAAACTAGTACCTAGTTGGTGATATAGCACACAAAATAAAACATTGGAGAAAACTATTGATTTGATTAAGAATCGAGGAAAGATATATGTTTAAACTTTGTCAAAATAGGTGCCAGAAACAGAAGCCATGTCCATCTTGTATGATAAAACCAACAAGAAAAGAAAGGATCTGTAAGCTGTTGATAATTCCATGTGACAAAAGACGTGTAGAAGGAGAAGATAGAGCTTTTCTTGTGCTACCAAAAGCCATATCTACTGCAAATCTCCCAGAGTTTCAATCAGCTTACTTTATTTTTGTCTTCAGCAAAGAGCATTCTTAAGTCGCCCATATATGATAGGCTACATATTTTGGCATATAGATCCTCCTGCAAAACATGCCAATTTTTAGAAGACAGAAGATAAGTTTATGAATCAAACATAAAACATCACAAACCAGCAAACCTCTGTAAACTTGGATGGCAAAAGGAGAAGAGCAGCAGAAGTTGCAGCCCTCAGATTAATGTGATTCAGATTTTCAAGATCCAAACTATCCATGATGATATTTACCTACAAGCAAAATGATATATTCGAATGTGATATAAGCTTCAGTGCAACTTATTAAGCATTTAAAGATGAAATGCAAATGGACATTTTCTAAATTTAAGTATAATGGAAAACATTTCCATGAAAACTTCACAAGCCAAGTCCTACCAGAAAAAGCAATTCATTGAAAATTGGAGCAATTTGAAATAAAACATACAGGTTTTTGCAAGCGGCCACAAAGGTAGAATCTCTGCCATCCCAGAATGTCGTTAATCAAGTCATCCATTCTAACAACTCCATACTTATACATCTGCCAAAATCAGTTAAAGGTAAAATTACAAGAAAGATATACCGCAAGGCATTGATAGAACCCATGTAAATGTAAGTCAACAACCACTTGAACTTCACAGAGTTGTGGTGTGTTCAATTCCTCGCACTAAAAGCACACAAAAGAGACACATGCCAGCTCATATCATCAACCAAAACCATACACTCTATATGTTTTCGACGGACAAAAGAAAAATATACGCATTCATTTGAAATGGTAGATACCTTATCATTCAACGAAACAAATGGATTGAAGTGCACGCCAACGCCAATATCATCAGCTACGCCAGCAATCTATTATCATATGATCGAAATCATTTATATAATTCAACTTAAACCAAATTAAATAAGTAAATCTTAGTCAAAAATCAAGCAAGAGTAGCACCAGCCTTGCACCACCGAAGTGCACCAACCATGAAGCATAGTGATTCCTATTCATCTTCAAGTTCTTCATTTAAAACAGGGAGTAGACAAATCAGCATGGTTCACCGAGTTCATGAGAGACATAAAGCAATATAAATAAAGATGCAGCACAAAGCAATCCAACTGCATACCTCAGAATGCCATTTCTCAGGATCAGACACACCAATAATGCAATCTATCATCGAGTTCTGCACAACCAAACAAAATTAAACAAAGAAACACACAAGTGAATGAAAGAAACCTGAAAATGTTGCACAAGAGTATTCAAGTGATCATTGCTGCAAAACATGGTGGAGAAAGGGGAAGAAGTGAAAACCTTGTCGAGATTGTTTGGATGGAGAGTGGAACCATAAACACAACAGAACTCAACTGGGGGTAGAATTTCCAGCAAACCATTTAGCTCAGCTCCACTTTTCTCGTTCTCTGATTTATCGTTATCATGAGCCGGTTCCATTCCTGCAGCAAATTCAATAATAAAAAAAAAAAAAAGAGTGTGAACCAAATTGAATTAAGCTTATCCTTCTTCGCTACTGTCCACTAATGGAATTAAGGGCTTTTTCAAGTATCTTGCATATACACTAAATTTGACTCGGGAATTTCGTCGAACAAGTGGTATGCAAATGCTTGTTCAAAGTAATGAACTTTATTTATGGGAAGAAGAAGAAGAAAAGGATCGCCTTTTGCATTCATTCTACGTTTGTTATAATATAATTGGCTTCAATCCATACCTGAAGTGGTAAAAATGCAATCGTGTTAAGCATAGAAATGCAGCTTCACCGAGGAAAGTGGAAACTTTTCTGTGTCCTTTGTTTCTCGCCCTTTTTTCTTGGTGGAACGGCTTGAAGTTTGAAGATGGAGAAATGGCGGTTGGGTCAATGTTAGGCTGGGCTGGGCTGGGCATGTCTTTTTAGCATCCTGACTCGATTGCTCAAACGCATGCATACCATTTGGTGGGTTAGACAGGAAATGATCAAGGCCCAACTGGAAGAGCTCATTTGTGATTTGAGCCAATAAACGACCAAATATTGACTAAAAATTCAAGTATTTAGTTAATGAACAACGTACAACAAGATGATAGTTATTTATTTTAAAATTCCCTACAAAAATTTTATTTATTTTAAATTTTTTTTTAAAAAAAAAACTAGATACACTTTACGCAACTTCAGATCATTTATATATTTTTTTCCTTAGTTGCTAGCTGTTGAATCCAAAAATTTCTCGAAAAACCAAAAAAAAAAAAGGGAAAAGAAAAGGCTACAACAAATTGGTGGGCTATTACCCACCTCAATTGCCGGTATGTTGTAACCACTAATCACATATACCGTTAACTTTTCTAACGCTGTCATTGATTTGATTTAAATGAGATAAATTTGAGAATTTAGAACATAAAGTATCCAAAATTATTAAGATTTTAAAATGCAAAGTTAGAAAATGATACGAATTCAATGATGGAAAGTTGAGTTAATCAGTTGATCCAATGTAGCATATTATAGATCAATAATATGCAGAGGTTGGCCGTGGACACAAGCTGAAACTGTGAAATTAATAAATTTATACATCTTATTTACGCGCACACTGATTTGCTTGTATCATCAATACATTTTTCAATCATTTTTTTATCTTACATATATCACATCAAAAAAGTGCTACAATATTTTTTCACAGAATTATCTCAAGTAAACTACTGTCCAAACACTGTGGTAATATGACATGTAAGAAAGCTGTTGCAACCATTTTTTCATTACTCTTTGGAAAATAGCGATATCAAACAGAGTAATGCAGCTCACCCCTTTACAAAGCCATAACATGTCATTTGGCATCCTAGTTTTTTTTCGTCAATAGGCAATTTTTATACTATTTCTATTTCTACTCTTATGTTAACTTATCCAAAGAAAGTCTAACTAAGTCAAAAAAAATCGACGAAAACTGACACACCCCGTTTGGCATACAAGATGATTTACGCAGTAGAGTGGTTTTTCAATTTGTCAGTCAATGATGCTTTAGTTAGTAGGGTAACTTGAATTCAAAGGTTCTGAATACGAAATTAATTGCTTACCAACAGCAGCGTCAGGCATAGCTTTGAATTAAAAAAAATTTAAAAGTGTTCATCGTACCACGATCCTAATTCATTTTCTGGACAAATGTGCCACAATCTTAGGGGTAATTGCAGTGGATTTTAAGAAAACAGGCAGAGGAAGGAATTCAGAAATCTAGGCGATGAAACTATCGGTGCAATTGTCTGCCAGATATTGGGACGCTCTTATGGCGCGTGACTGCAATATGGCAAGAACTCTAATAGCTAGTTTGGGAGTTTAGGATAGAAAAGAAAAAAAAAAAAACTTAAGTTATGAAAGAAAAGAAAGGATAGGAAAAGAAAAGAAGAGATTTTGTTGTGATTCGATAGTTTAAAGAAGAAAGTTGAAAGATTTTGGATATGTATGTTATTAAAAATTTGTTCAATAACTATTTAAGGATATAATTGGTATTTTGAAAAAAATTTGTAGCCACTTTTCCACTTTTCGTCTGAATCTAGCAAAAATGGGGGCAAAAATTGGTATTTACTTTTCTTTTTTGGTCAAATCTCTCCTTCCAAACACACTATAAATCCTACGTGCAGCAAAAGTCGTGTTAGTTTGGTTGCCCCTGACTAGTGTGTTCGAGTTCAATCAAATTAGAATACTAGTGTATTCAAGCTCGAGATCAAAGTGTATTACCTAAGTTCGAATTTGAACTTGAACTCCATGAACTCGATTTCGAATCTTGAATTCGACCGTGTAAAAAATGGAGTGTTTGAGATCGAGATTGAGTTCACTTAAGAAACAAATTGAGATAAAGTGATAAAATATGTAATTTATTCTAAATCTTATATACGTTGACAGTGTATACACTATAAAAAAATATGGATAAACTTTCGAAAGGTCGAACTTGAATTTGAACATGTATTATTGGAGTTTGAACTTGAACTCAATAAACTCTCGATTTCAAAACTCAAATTCGACCGTGTAAGAAAAAAGAATGCTTGAAATCGAACTTAAGTTGGCTCAAAAAATAAATTGAGATATAGTGATAAAATATATAATTTATTCTAAATCTTATATACGTTAACAATATATACATTATTAAAAAAAAATAGATGAACTTTCAAAAGGTTGAATGAACTTTGAACAGAATAGTTAATTGCTCCACCTCGAGTCAAGCTTTATCATTGCTATATGTGACCCCGTCTGTTATAAAGGCGCGTGCGTTCATTCCTTCGTACAACCCGCAGCGGTGCAATTTTGATGACACGTCCCCGGCCGCTACAAAACCACTGGCAAATCATCCATGGTTTTTCAAAATTTTAAAGAAATTGCTGAATCGATGCCCTCTACTTTTCCTAATTTGTCATTAAGTCATTATCGTCTTTATTCACACCCATATCGACCCACCGTTATTTTGCAATTTATTTTTCTCAACTTTTCCAGCATATAAGGTTTGTTTTTGATTGATTATTTTAATTGATTATAAATTTTAATTTTAGATAATCAATTTTTATAATATTTTTGATTACTTTTATATTTTAATTATAGATATTTTAATCACTAAAAATGCTAAAATCTATAATAATAAAAATGTAGTTTTTTGTTGATTCTGTTTATTTTTGATATTCAGTATCTATAATCAGATTTTGTAAAATAAAAAACAATCAAGAACAAAGCCATAACACTAAATAAAAGCTATTAGAACATTAGGAACGCATGAGCAGCGCATTTAGTAAATTTTTAAACAATAAATAACAACACTAGTACAAAATTAATCCAATTATCATATATGCAAAAAAAAAAAAATAAAAGATTAGTGATATCACAAATGATATTTTTTTTTTCAATCTAATCGAGTTTCTACTAATTGATAATGTAACTATAATTTCTTGCCATGTGATAGTATTGAAAGTAGTAGTTAAAAATGTTAAAATAAGAACCAAAAGAAGAGAATCAAACAACAATGAATCAAAATAGCAATTTTTAGAAGAAATTGTTGGGGAAGGGACAAGAAAGACCAGCATGAAAATAAATTGTTCCCGTCCAAAACATTTAAGCAAACTATGGGGACCCCAAAGGCAAAAAAGTTTCCCACCTTAGTTATAAGTAGCTGCAAAATCCAGAACAAAAAGAAAAGAGTACTAAATACAGTACGTGGGAAGGAAGAAAAGATACATTTTTTAAAGCAGTTTTGGCTATGTGTTTACCAAAATCAGCATTTTAAAGGAGATGCTCCTCCTTCTCCAAGTTGCTGACTCAAATCGAATCATGGCAATTTTGTGAAGCAACCAAGACTCCTTTCGGCTTATTCTCATCTGGGTATGCTTTTAATCCCTTTATTCTCAAATGGGTCTGAGAAAAAATTTGATCTTTCCCAATGCTGTTTGGTTGTGGAATGTATAAAAATTTGAGCTAATTCAAGGTAGAATTTTCTGTTGAAGTGACTGCATTTCTTGGAGGTGTTGGGTGATTTAGTTCAATGAAGTCAAAGATTTTTGCTTTGGGTTGGTACTTCTTTTATCTTGGGTTTCTCAAGAGTCTTTAATCTTTCTGCTGCTGCTTGTATGGTTTTTTATTCATTTTAGCGTGGAATTTGTTTGGTCAAGGAAAGAAATGAAAGTAAAAATCTGGGATTTTGTCCTTGTGTTTGTCCAGGTTTGGATTTTACTTGGAAATTGGGATGATTATATCAACCTCCAAAGTTGATTTCTTTTCCCCCTTGTTTCACTAGGGAGCGGTTAATTGATTGGGATTAAAGATGAGTTGATGTCTTTGAGGGACAAAAAAAAAAAGCTGATTGTTTCTGGTTAATTGTGTTTTATTTCTGCAGGCAGAAGCTTAAAATGCGATTTTGTAGTTTCAGTGTTCCATTTTGTGTCGTTTGAATATTTTTAGGTATTAAAAATGGGGCTACTTCTGCTGCATTATGTCTCAAATAAATTGCATATAATATTATTTTTTAGACTTAATCCTTTCTTCTTATAAATACAATTCTGTCTGGGGTTAGGTTGATGTATGTAGAGTATGTGTCATTTAGCTCTTATTTCAAGTTATCTCTGAAACGTGGTGCGCTGATGTAAATGGTTTTTGGTGTTTGTTTTGATGTAGAAGCAATAACAAGAACGGTATCTATCTAAGCGATACCACCTACAATTGGGAAAGCCCAAATGCGAAGCTGTAGAGCAAAAGTTTAGGTGTACAAAGTTTTAAAAGTGATAAACGCCTACAACAATCTAAGTCTGCACTTTCAATTGATGGATGTTCCAAACTTTTACAAATCCCTAGATCCTATCTAAGTCTGCAAGGATTTCATGTTCTTAGTTTTCAGAGTAACTCGCACATGTTTGTCTCCCCTGCTGCGTTTTCCTTCCAATGGTGCCTTAAGCCTGAATTCTCAGTATCTAGCGTTGTGCACTGGTTCAAGTTATTGGATATAGCTTCTTGAAAAGGACAATTTTGGTGCTCTAGTTTGTAGGTCCCAGTTTTTGGTTTACCCGCTTGACAAACTGATGAAAATAATTGCTTAGAGATCAATCATTTTAAGTTTCTGGTGAAACATTTTGCAAGAACTTACTAATAAAACAATTTTAAGATATATATAGCAACAGGTCAGTGGAAGTGAAATGTAATGAATCTCATATGGGCTGGCTGAATCAATAGCTCAATCTCATTCTCTGATGCAGGTTTTTGATGTGTCCAGGAAGCTGTTAATGTGCAGTTCAAGCGATAGCTTCATTATCCTGCTGAATTCTGATAAAATTAGATACAAAACTTCTGAAGTAAAGCTCTGAATTGCGAAAGCACGGACCTGTGATTCAGTCCTCTATACAATGTCTACGCTAGCAAAGTTGCGCTGTGTCACACTTGATGTTACTGGTACACTGATAGCATATAAGGGCGAGCTTGGTGATTACTACTGCATGGCAGCTAAAGCTGTTGGTTTGCCATGTCCTGACTACAAACGAGTTCATGAGGGCTTTAAGCTTGCATATACTGACATGGCAAAGAAACATCCATGTTTTGGATTTGCAGAAAAAATCCCAAACATAGTTTGGTGGAAGAGTTGTGTGAGAGACTCTTTTGTTAAGGTATAACGATATGCAGGAGCATGGATTGTGTAGTTATGACTACTGTCACGTATAGGTTTCTTTTTTCGCAGTGTTTTCAAATAAGACAATACATGCATGCTCACTTTGCCATGGAGAATAAGTGAATAACATGATAAACACAGCTGAATACTTCACTTTGTTTTTCAGACTGCTACATTTGGCACAAGGTGGCTGAATAGAAAACAAATTTTTAGCGGCTGGATCTGGAAACACGATTGTAATAATTATTATGTGAATAGGCATGATTGTTCTTGTAAACTAGATAATCTGTTGCCTGCAGGCTGGATACGACTATGACGAGGAGACATTTGAGAGAGTCTTTAAGCGCATCTATGCTTCATTTGGTTCCTCTGCACCTTACAGTATCTTTCCAGATTCTCAACCTTTCCTTAGATGGCTTCGAAAAAAGGGGCTTAAAGTTGGGCTTGTTAGCAATGCGGAGTACAGGTATCAGGATGTAATCCTTCCTGCATTGGGCCTGAATCAGGTATTTCCTATTAGGTCTCGTAAAAAGCTTACAATCTTTATTGATCAAGCCTTCTGAGCTCTGATACTCATTACTGAATTATGAACCATTTTTCAAACAATATATTGGTTTCAGGGATCAGAGTGGGATTTCGGTGTATTCTCTGGTCTTGTAGGTGCGGAGAAGCCAGATCCGAGGATATATGAGATTGCCTTGGAAAAGGCTGGAAACATCCCACCAGAAGAGGCTCTCCATATTGGAGACAGCATGCGTAAGGACTACTTACCTGCAAAGAGTGCGGGAATGCATGCGCTGCTATTAGATAGATTCAAGACACCTGATGCTGAGAATTGGCGGAAATCCGGTGCTACAGTTCTTCCTGACTTGGTTGCTACGCAGGAGTGGCTTACTAATTCTGACCGATTGAGTTGCTAATAAATTGTACCCCTTTTTGCTCAGTCTGATTACCAGTTTGGTTAAATTATATTCGCTTCAATGGCAAACCTTGTTGTAATACACAGAAGAAAGAAAGGGTGCAGGGAGAAATGTAGGATCTTCCTTTCCTTTTAATGTTTTTCAATTCCCTTTTCAGGTCATAATATCATTTCATGTTCCAAACAATATGATTAGCATCCCTATCAATCCATCGAATCTTTCTTGACTTGGAAGGTGATTGGTTGGCATCATTAATCAAATTTCCAATGTCAGAATCATCTCCCTCGAATCTTTCTTCAGCAAATTAAAATGTTCTGCTGAAATCTGGAAGCCAGACCAATGCCTTCTGCAGCTGTCATTATATCTGCTACGTCGGGCCGCAAAATCCCAAGCATGAATTCGCCATTGTGGTCCCTTGTGTTGTAACCAACCCTACTCCAGCTGCCTGCAAGTCCACAAATATTGCACAACCAAAATTTACCTTCAACTCATCTATACTAGAAGGAATCCATGGATCCATCTTTGGTAATGAAAATGATCTTTTCTTTGTTGACATGAAAATAAGAATCTTTACAATCAATTGTGTGCTCAATCACGATTTGGCAAGCATTTTTATTTTCTGATTTTAGCACCCGAGAAATTTTAGAAGTTTAAAGAATAGAATGCAAGAATAACCTTGTAAAAATTTAAAATAAAAATCCCAACTTTAGTCATATATATAACATAAGCATGCAAGCTGGGTTTGGAGTGTCATTGAAAAAGATGATAAGATTCATAACTTCATAGTGATAAGATCCATGGCTTGCAGAAATAAATGAGTAGAAGCTACTTACTAATTACAAGAGACTCTTGTGTGTTTGGATAGTAGATTTTTTGAAATATTAGTTAAAATAATTACTATAGCACTTTTTGTGATGTGATATATATGAGATAAACATATTGTTGGGATTAAGCCTGCAAACGAATTAAATTGAGTCGAAATTTGACTTAATCGAGTCGAGTCTCAAATTAAATTTACCAAAATTTGAACTCGAACTTGAGCTCGACGAGCTCTCAATATAAAGTTCAAACTCAAGCTTGATTTCAAATTCGAGTCAAGTCGAATCGAGCTCGAGTTTAAAAAATATAATTATTTTAATTTTTAAAATGAACAGAATAGTAATTTTTCTTAATAAATAATAAAATATTAGGAATATGTGTGTGTGTGTGTGTAATTGCACTATTAGAATAAGAAAATAAAAGAATATATATAAAATCGAGTTGACTCGCAAGCTAATGACCTCAATATCTTTGATCTTGAACTCGACTTCGTCAACTCAAACTCAACTGGAGATCGATGTTGACTGAATTTGAGTCGAGTTTTGACTCAAACTGCTCATGATCGGCTCAGAAGTAACTCGAGTCATATGCAACCCTCGTGTTGGGATCATTAAAAAATGATTGAAATTGTAATTGTGATGGAAATAAAATAATTAATATAACACACATCTATTCAACCAAAATAATGAGCAAAAAATGATCGAAAAAAAAAGAACTTGCCAATAACGCCAAAAGTTTTAAAATCAGTCTTTATTATCAAGAATTTCAATTGAAGCAAACTACAACAAAGAAAAAGTGGACATAAAATAAATTTCAAATTTCCATTGGAAAGTGAAAAATAAAAGAGAGGTGGGATTTAAAATATGTAGCTAAATGAAGGGTCTGAATAAAATAGCAAACATATTTTAAATTTAAATTTTTTAGTAAATAAATAAATAAAATATAAAAATTGAAATTTTTGAAGCATATTGCCTTGGCTTGGGCCGAAAGACAGCTGAAGAGAAAACATACATATTATAAACCCCATCCCAACCCAAAGCTAGGCACCTGCTCCGTTCTTCAACTCCCGATCTCCGTTCAGGTATATTTACGACTGCTAATATACATATACTCCCAGATTACTTATTAGTTTCTAGTATTTGCTGTCTCGTCGGTCTCTTCTAAGTCGGCCGTCAACTGGGTCTTCTTGGTAATCCCGGAATTTTACAGATTCCGGCGAGAAAAGCTTCAATTTGTACTGGGATCTTTGTTGATTTATTTCTTGGAGTTTAACAGGAAAATTGGTTGATTCATTGGTTTGATCGTTTGCAGGTTGACAGTGAATCCCGGCAAGCAAGTCCGTTTTTCAGTTTTAGCCCTAATCTTCACCAGGTAAATTCTACAATTTTTTGGGATTTTTTTTTGTTGAATAGATTGATTTTCAGCGTTTTTTTTTGGGTTGTCGAAGTTGTGGGTTGATTTTGTTGGTTTTAGAAGGGTTTATGAATGTGACAAGATTCCACATTGGCCCTGATTGGGTTTCTATCTTTCCTAAAGATACAAAAGGAAAAAAAAAAGATAAAAAAAGGGAAAAGAAGAAGTTAAATGGGAGATGTTCTACTAAAATTAGCTAATTCAATAATTCCAAGGTTATTTTATTCAATTTAGATATTAAATTGAGTATTTTGTTCAATGTTAACATATTATTAAGGTTTTTGAACATTAGTGTTGGCATAATTAGGTATTGTTGAAGTTCCTTGTTTGAGGTTGCAGGGGAGAATGCTTTCCTGTGTAGAAACTTTTCTACTTCAGAAGCATGAGAATATTTTTTGGTGTAGAAAGACTTGGTTTTGGAGCTCATTATGTTCATTGAGCTCATTTTGTTAGTTGTATCCACTTCTTTTAGGGTCAATTGCAAAAATATTCTATGAATTTTTCACGAAATATTGTTGTCGTTCTTGAGATCTTTATCATTTGCCAATTTAGTAATTGAACTTTGTTCATCCTTTGGTGGTTGTCTTGTGGTCATTCTTATGGGCATATTGATTGGTTAGCTTGTTTAGTCATTTGATTTGGAGCAAAAGGGGAACTAAGGTTCAGTCCTCCAAAACTAGAGTCTTCTGGGACAAAATCTATTCTTTGGATTAATTTGAGACTCAGTAAATGAGATGATGGTGATCAATTAATTTAGTGACTTCTCTGTTGGATCTAAAGGTTGCCTGTGCTCTTGTACATCTTTTTTGGATCACCAACTGAAACCCAATAAAGAAGGCAACTGGTTTTGGGTGCTCCAAGTGATTTTATTGCTTTTGGATTCCGTTTGAAATTGTGCACTGGTGGGAGAACGTCAGAAATAGAAATAGCTAATAACAGTTAGTGCCCTGGTTGTCTACCCATCACCCTACGTTGTGTTGGAAGTCAGCTGTATGCCATATTTATCATGCTATGGATGTTGGAATCAATAGAATGTTGGAGATCCAGAAAAATACAGTAAAAGAGGACTAGCAACCTTAGAAGGTTGAGCCAGGAGTGCACTAGAAGATTATCATAATCCTGAAAATCTATTTGGAAGTCCACCGCATGATTCTTTCAGTGTTCCTTTGGGGAACAAGTACATTAGTGCTTGTGTACACATAGGTGTCATGTTCAGGAAAATGCTTTGAACTGGACATATAGATCCATATGCACCTTCTGGAGCACCAAAATATTTTCCATAACAAAATCAAATTGTCTAGAGAACCATTTGAGGATAGAGTAATTGGGTTTATATTCCAGTGCTCCTAGCATTTTGATCGTATTCAATATTTATTTTTCTCAAAACATACTTGTGCCTTTTTTTATTTATTTGGCGATCTAGGAATGTTGATCTTGCCCAAAAGTACAAACAAAAGGCAACCAAAGTTTTAGTTATTAATCTTTGTATGTTGTAGAAACATCACCACATGTTTCTCAGTCTGTAGCATGATTCCTGGCTGAGCGATAGAGACTAAAATATTCCACCGAAGTGTTTAATTGATTTTGATCTTTGATATTACTACTTTTAGTTTGCTTTATGCTTGTTGATTTTTAAGTGGCTTGCGCAAAAGTATTATTTGGATTTGTAAATTGCACTTTCCTTTTGTGCTCACTATCTTACGTGTTTACTATAGAGAAAAAAAAATGTCACGAAGGTATGATAGCCGCACAACTATCTTCTCCCCAGAAGGTCGTCTCTATCAGGTCGAGTATGCAATGGAAGCCATTGGAAATGCGGGTAGTGCAATTGGAATCTTGTCTAAAGATGGGGTTGTGCTGGTAGGTGAAAAGAAAGTCACATCAAAGCTTCTTCAAACATCAACATCCACTGAAAAGATGTACAAGATTGATGACCACGTAGCATGTGCTGTGGCTGGAATAATGTCTGATGCCAACATCCTAATTAACACGGCCAGGGTTCAAGCTCAGCGCTATACTTACGCTTACCAAGAACCAATGCCTGTGGAACAGTTGGTTCAGTCTCTATGTGACACCAAGCAGGGGTACACACAATTTGGTGGTCTCCGTCCATTTGGTGTTTCGTTTCTGTTTGCAGGCTGGGATAAAAACTATGGTTTCCAGCTCTACATGAGTGACCCAAGTGGAAATTATGGTGGTTGGAAAGCAGCAGCAATCGGAGCGAACAACCAGGCAGCACAATCGATGCTGAAGCAGGACTACAAGGATGATATCACTAGAGAGGAGGCAGTTCAACTTGCACTTAAGGTGCTCAGTAAGACTATGGATAGCACTAGTCTCACTTCAGAGAAGCTTGAGCTTGCAGAGGTATTCAGCGTGGATGGAAAAGTCAAGTACCAGGTCTACTCACCAGAAGCACTTAATAAATTGCTAGTCAAGTCTGGATTAACCCAACCTGCTCCAGAGGCCTCTTAAGATATTGTACTTTCCTTTGTACTTGCTTATGTGGTAACTGGTGCCCTGTTGCAGTATTTGGTATTTTGTTCTCGTTAAGTACATTGATTCTTGCTGATATAAGCTTTTTTACTCATGATCCAAGAACTTCGGTGCGTTTGTTCCGTCTCTGATTTATTACCTTCATCACTGTATTTTGTCTCTGTCGCTAACTTCAGACTATTCTATATCTGAACTGAGCAGAAGCAGCTCCCGTCCATTGGAGGTCTGCCTGGAAATGTGCCATTGGGAATTGTTGGTGCCTTTTGTGCTTAGCTTTGTTTTCTACAGGGACTAGGCGTATTTCCTGAGTATTTTACTTTCACTGTGCTATTGAATTTGTGCAAAACCATAGCTGAGCTGATCAGAGCGATGTGCTTTAACTTGGGATTCATAGTCTGGTTTCAATTTGAACAAATTCTAATCGGGTAGTTTTGATGAGAATGGATTTTCGATTAACATCCAATATAGGGCTAACAATTAATGGATTGGATCTGGGGAAGAACTGGTAATTTTAGACCTAGATCAAATATACAATAAAATGATCCAAATCCGGATCTGGATCCGGATTCGGATACAGATAGGTTTCATACTAGGTCTGATCGGATTCAAATTTGTGTCGAATATATCTGAATTTTGAAATTAATTTAATAAATTTATTTTCCAATAAATTTAAAATTTCTATTCTTACATAAAATTTATCAACACAATATTAACAATACAATGAGACAATTCTAACAACTATTTGATATATAGAAAATCTTTTTTTTTTTGTGTGTGTGTATAAAACAAATGATTTAGTAACATATTTTAATGAATACGTAGATGCTCATATATAATTTTTTATGAAATTATTTATATTAATTGGATTTGAGTCCAAAACGGGCTGAATTATATAAATTCATTTTATATTACAGATAAAATGGATCCAGGTTGGATGCGGAAAACAAACCTATCCCCGTTCGGAGTCTAGGAAAATGGACTAGATTCGTTAACATCCCTAAGTTGATATTGGATGATTGTTGGTCTTCAAGGAAGTACTCTGTTATATTAAGAATCATTTTCATTTTCCCTACTATTTTCCTCTGTTAACCAAATAAAGAAAAAAATTAGGATTTTCAAGAAGTCACTCCCTCTTTCCTTTATTGTCCAACAGGGCCTAAAGGTTCTATTGTTTGGGTATTAGCCATGCAAATCAACACTCAAACTACTAGCAATTTGGTTCGCATGTTTATTATAAAAAAAAAAAAAAAATTCCGTTGCTATAACCGGAAAACTCTCCCTACTTCCCTCATTTTTGCGACGCCTTTTTTTTTTTTTTTGTTTTGACAATATTTAGAGAAATTAGCCACTAGGGGCTGGGAAGAAGAAAGCATCCAAATTGTCATAAAAAAAGATTGTGCATGCAGCACTCCAATACCTTGATCAAGAAGAATCAAAATTGCTTTCTTAACAATAACACAGATTAACAAGATGCTAACTACAAATTAGAACTGCAAACGAATCGAGTTGAGTCGAGTTTTGACCTAATCGTACTGAACCTTGATTTAGTTTTTTCAAACTCGAGCTCGAAGAACTGTCAAAAAATTATTATTTTATTTTGCAAAAAATAGATAAAATAATATTTTTTCTTAATAAATAATAAAATATTAGGAATATATATGTAATTTTACTATTAAAATAAAAAATATATATATATATATACTCGAGCTCGCAAGCTAACGAGTTTAATTTTTTTGAACTCAAGTTCGATTTGGCCAGATCGAACTCGACTCGATCTGCTCGTGAGCGGCTTGATTCGTTTGCAAACCTACTACAAATGATGACAAGTGCATAACATATAAAAAGGTGATTAATAAATACAATTAAACTGGATGGATGGCTTTTCCTGCCACCGTCAAATTAATACATAAGGATCTTCAAATGATTTTTTTCACAACTCTTATTGCTAATAAACTTTGATTTGCAATGGTTGGATAATATAAAATTGAGATTTCCCTACCAGGTTCTAATAATCTAATTTTTCTATAAAGTACAACACAAAATATACTACATGCAAAGAATGTTTGTGTTGTTTATAACTTGACTAGGACTTGGAGACCTGATACCAGTTTCCTAGAACAAAAAAAGTGTTAATATAAATAAAATATTTTGTTGTATCAATTTGTTTTTATTAGCATCAATTAGGATTACAAAATAGGATATTATCTTGTATTATTAGCATCAGTTAGGATCACAATTAGGAACTTACCTTGTATAATATTAGTCTAGATTCACTCTATCTGTATAATACCTTGTATATATATATATAGGCACTGCATTGTCATAGAATTTATGAATTCAAAAACTTTTTCTCTCCCAAACAATTCTTCCAACAAAGAGTATGCAGTATGCTTAAAAGGCCTAAATGTCTGAGAAAATCTTTTGAAATGATGGTCGCAATGAAAGCAAGGTTTTGGACCCAAAATTTGCTCGAGATATGTAAACACAAACACTGATGCGGGCAGAAGCTAGACGTTGTGCCGCGAGGACTTCTTTGTGCAACCAAAGTTACCAAAGAACTTGCAGATCTTTCGAGCTGGTGCAGCGTAGGGGACTGGAAAACATTGAGATGCAAATATGATGCAAACAATGTGATTGAAGCTATTGATAAAGTTAGTGTAGGGGAATGAAAAAAGTGTGGCTATCATTGATGACATACAATTCCCCTAGCAAATATTCTTGAGGACTGATCTTTGTTTATCTTTGTAGGCATGTGTGATGCAACAATATTGCTCATGTAAATTCTGAACATGCAAATTCATTTAGACGTCGAGGAAGATCAAACTGCCCGGTGGCTTCTTGGTGATTTTTTGTAGATGAGGCATAGATAGATAAGGACTAGTATGTTTTCTTTTTTCCCGTGATCAGTTGTACAATGTTTAGGTTGATGTTATTTGACACATACTAGCAAGCAATGGAACGGGCATTTTGACTGCAGGCCTGCCTATTTTTTGAAGGAGTTGGGGTTTAAATATTTTTCATTATATTTGGTGGGCTAAATAGGTTCCGATGATTTGAAGGGACACGGCTTGTCTTCTTGCCACTACAAGATGGATTCCATTGGAAATCAAGAACCCAACGCTCTAGAAGTAGGACTGTCAATATGGTCGGGTGAGCTCGAGTCCGACCTGTTCAGTCCGATAAAAAGTTCAATGAATCTAACCTATCATTGAGTTAGGTTGAGTTTGGGTCTAAAGATTATGTCTGAATTAAATATGAATCGAGTTTGGATTTGTGATTAGTAAGAGCGTTTTGTACCCAAAAGTCTAGTCAATTGTACGATAGAAGTTCTCAATTCGACTATAAAATCCTTTTTTTTTTTCCCTTTAGCTCGAATAGAAAGAAAGTTGTATGAGAAAGTGAAATGAAGGAAAGTAAGATAAAGAAAGATAAAAATAAGTTTGCCATGTATGTTTGGTTATTAAGAAAAATATTGAGAGAATATAGAAAGTTAATGATGGTTAGTAGCGGTTATTGAAAGTTTTGTGAGTAACCAACTATTTTCCTTCAAAATCCTACAAGTTTTGTGAGACACAAAATGTAGGAAAATGCGAGAAATATTTACAACATTCCTGTGAATCAAAACATGCACGAAGGAAAAAATAACTAATTTTCCTTCCCACACTTTTCCTTGCAAACAAACACCATCTAAGCGTTTTAGAGTTTTCTTGAAAAGGAAAAAAAAAAAGATAAAGGCTTCTATTCTTTGCATCCTAATCATTCATCCATTGTTTGCTAGGCCAATAAATGCCTTATTGTTCCACTATCAAGTGTGTCAGAGTATCCAATTTATTATTCTCTGTAAAAGGAAAAAATTTAGGATAAATCTTTTCTATATTGGCAATATAGATATAATGTATGTATATGTATAAATTAGTGCATTTGGATGGATGCTACATATACAAAACTTATATTTTAAAGGCTAAAAAAATCTCAGTGGCCACTAAACTATTAGTCGAATCAAGAGTTGAGTGGTTAATTTTTCGTCAAAAATTAACCACTCAACTAACTAATCAATACGGTGTCTATGATTAGAGAGGTAATTTGAGAAGAAATAATCAAAGAAGCTAGAGTTTGATATTTTATGTAAAACGTGTTTGCTGTACAAATGTTAAATGGCATATCCAGGGCACGGTGCGGAGGAGCAGCCAATACCGGCGATAATGTCATAGAAGTAAGTGCTCTTGTCGGAAGGAGTAAGGACTCAATGCCCAGAGTCAACTGCTAGTAGTTTAGGAAGTTAATCGGATTCATCCTACATAAAGTAAGAAGCGGTAATACAAAAGTGTGTAAACTATGAAAATGAGTCAAGGTAGATAAGCATACCCTTGCCCAACCCGGGGAAGCTCAAGTGGTTCGTTGCTCCTCTTTAAGATATGACGACCATGGTTCGAGTCCCAGGGATAATGCGTTCGAGGGGAATGTGCCTCTCCTCTCGAGCCGCAGGAGGAATAGTCGGGCCAAAGGTTCGGATACCCTTGTGTCGACAAAAAAAGAAGAAGAAGATAAGCTTACCCTTATAATCAATTAGCCAATGACTACAGTTATCTAAAGGCAAAAAGGAGCTCATCAAGGCTAACAGAAATGGCTAACCCCAACAGTGGTAGAACCTTCCTTTTTCGGTTGAGGACTGATTTGCTTAGCTAGTGTAGGAAGAAAGGCAAGTAGCCCCATTCCCATTAAAGGGATATTCCCCGTTGGCTACTAATTTAGCAAGAAGGTTCACCATGTCAAGTCTCACAAGCAAGAATAAGTATAAAAGAAAACGAAAGAGTTTGTTGTAGGAATTCCTAATCTCTCAACAATAAAGTAGTCGCTTAGTTTTCTAAGAAAGCAAGTAGCTAGCACATCTCTTCCCTCTTCGAGCCAACCGTTCACTTCCTCTAACGAAATGAGCGAGGAAAATGCTTGAAAGCCAACAACTCTATAAGATCCTAGTCGTTCTCCTGCCCTGCCTTACATCGATGGATTTCTGTCCTACTACCGGCTATTCCCAAAAAGAAAAGAGAAAGTGAATCTCTTATTACGTATAGCAGAAAACACATAATAAACAACAAAATTGAGGAACAAATCTGAACTCAAGCTAAACCACCATGAATAGCTGCGGCTGAAAACCATTTTGAGATGTTTAGTATAAAGGCTGCAAAAAATATCCCAATTCCAGAAGTCGAAATGGAAGAAACCGAAGAAGGTGA